AAATGTATATAGAGGTGTACATAATACTCACATGGAGTAGGATCTACTTGATTTTTATTTTTGGTTGGTGTCACCCAATGTGAGTGTTATGTACACCCTCATGTACAATATTATGTTCCTATAACATTTATCAATCTATATCTATGTGTGTGTGTGTGTGTGTATATATATATATATATACATATATTTATATATAAAGAGAGAATCTATTTACCAAAAATAGTAACAAAAAAAGTCAACTATCATTTATTGCATTCTATTTTTGACAGAGTTTTTTTTATATTAATCCCCAATCCTATGACTTCACTTCGCTTCGTTCGTTTCCTCTCCGCGCAACGCAATCAAAAATAAGGTGAGGCATCTGATGCTAAGCTGTGCGCTCAATGTATAGCTCACTCTTTCAAAAAAATCGATTATCTATATAAGCGCTCTAAATTCATGGGTATTGTGGATTTAATTTAGGTAAATTTCGATTGATGCTTACATTGTTGCAAAAGTCAAAAAAAATTTCTTTTTTTTTTTCAAAAAAAAAAAAAGTTTAAAAAACTGATTACCATAAAATCGAGAATTTTGAATAAGGTAAAATAATATCACATATATCTCTTCCTAATTGCAACGGATCAATTGTTTATTAAAAAATCAGATTGCAAAGAAATCGAGTTAATTTAGGTAAAATTCGGCATTAAATTTTTGTGAAAGTCAAAATTCTCTTATTTTTTATTAAAAAAATATGTTTACCATAAAATCGAATATTTCGAATTAGAGAAAATACGATAACATGTATCTTTACCTAATTACAGTAGATCTTGTTTATTAAAAAAAAAATCGAATTGCATAGAAATCGGGTCCAATTTCAATTTAAAAGTCAAAATTTAAAAATTCTATATCATTTGGCTACTAATTTATTTAGTTCGGATTTTTTTTGAAAAACAAAAAACAAAGTCAGATAATATTAATTGAAAATTCAAAATGAAATTGGAACATCCTAAAAATTTGGGTTTTGTTTAATTATATATAATACAAATTTAAAATTGATTGCATACACGTACACTATTTTTTCCTTCCTAATATATTTAATATATATAGGTGTCAAATGTTTATTTTCTTAAATACGATTTACAAAGACGTAGGTTGTTTTCTGTTTAACAATATATAAGTTACATTTTGTTTTATTCAATACGTGCACATTTTTCTAACCGTCCATCATTCAAATCTAAATGCTTACCTTAATAAAATTAGCTCATAAAATTAGTTTGTGTATCGCACTGGTACCGCAATATATATGAGTTGTGCGGTCAACACGATACCTTAATGGCTAAGATATGAAATTTGGCCATTGCAAGAAGGGTAATTTTGTCATATAATACTGCACCACTACCGCGCCTTGGAAACGCAAGTTTTTTCATCGCGTAAAACATATTCTCCCTCTTTTTCTGATCTATCGACTATCGTCTTTGAAAGCCTTTAGATCATACTCCTTTTTTTCCCCTTCAAATTCAAACCTAGAAGATCAAATAACAGCAATGGGGCTGCTCTCCAACAGGTACAACTCATTGTTTTTGCTGATCTTTATGTAAATATCTATGTTATTGTATTGAATTTGTCTTTCCTTGTTTTTTCCGCTAGTTTTTGGGACTGATTTTGTTGTGCGCGCGTGTGTGTGTGTTCGTATTTGTGAAATAACGCACAGAATTGATAGGAGCATCCTCAAAGCAGGGGATCACATATACTCATGGCGCACGGCGTATGTGTATGCTCATCACGGTTAGTTTTGTTTGAATTCATAGATTCTGTGTGCAGGACATGTCGATCCGGTGATTGGGATAGTGGTTTTTGATAAATGCTGCTGATATAATGTTTGCTTGAGTTTGATTTATCGCGTTAAAAGTCGTCTGGAGTTTCATTTGGATTTCGATACCGATTCATGATGTTGGTGGTAAACCTAGGAGAAGCTGGAAATGAAGTTGGTAGAAATCTTATCATTCTGTATAGAATTTTGGGAATTTCCTACAATTGTGTGAAAGAAAGTGTGTTTTGGTTTAAGAAAGTTTAATAGGATTTAGGTTTCGCTTAATTCGGTTTCGCTTAATTCGGTTTCTTGGGGATCCGTTTCTACTATTCCCGATCTCACAGCATCAATGCCGCAGTAGATTTTTATGGGATTTATTCGCGATGAGTTGAATGCGGTGTCGATGATCGAAAATGAGTGAATGGCCTTCTCGTGAAGGCTATTTTGTTCGAATAAATTGTTGAATGTATCCAGACAACAAAGATTCCACGCCTCTATGTTATGTTTGGTGGAAAATTTTAACTAATGCGTTTTCTTCTATTGCCTTTGAAAGTTCAACTATGTTAACAATGACCTTGATAGAGTTCTACATGCATCTTGGTTTTCAACTCATCGAACAGAGTAACTTACGATTTTTTTATCTATTTCCTATTGATGTCGTATCTTTAATCGTTTCAGCTGGTACTATGTTCCTTTTACTTCTTTTGAAGGATCATTAACTTGTTCACCATCATTAGGTGAAGAGAGTTTGAGATCCATTATTGCATCATCTTTCCTCAAGAAAATGCTGTTGACATCATTTAGTCGACTGCGTTTTGTTTCTCCAGCTAGTACAATTTTTGGATATATGTTTTGCAATTGCTTTCATCGAAGTGTATTAACAATAAAACTGTATGTATACACCTCATGTGTCACTTGCTAATTACTTGGTAGCTAAAGAGAGCTCCTGTCTTCCCTCACTGAGCAAGCTTTCAAGACGTTGATGTAGTCTTCCTTCCTTGGGAATGTTCCGATGTTTTAATTGGTTGATATCGAAAGTTAAATTCATTGTTTTAACACTTACATGGAATAAACAATCTTTCATAACATCCTAGTAATTAACTGGAACATTACTAAATCATAGTATTACTTTCTCATCCACATTAAACTTCCTATAATCTATCTTGATACTGACAGAACACAAGTCCATGATTTTTATTATTGTTCCTGCTAAAACATTTTCATTTTTTGGATTTATGTCTGCATGAGAATAGGCATATACGTTGGGGACGATAAAGTCATACACTTCACGAGGCACGGCCAGGAAGTGGGCACGGGCACAGTACTCGACCTCCTCCTCGTCAGTTCGAGCCCCGCCGGGGCCCGAACCCCATGCCCCACCTGCTCCCCGCCAGAGGACGGGCATGGGGTCGTCATCTCGTGCCTCGACTGCTTCCTGTCTGGCGGCATTCTATACCGATTCGAATACGCTGTGAGCCCGGCCCTCTTCCTGGCCAAGGCCCGCGGGGGTACCTGCACCCTGGCCATCCCGGACGAGGACGAAACTGTGGTCCACCGGGCCCGATACCTTCTGGACAACGGGTTTGGGTGCTACAACGTGTTCAAGAACAACTGCGAGGACTTCGCCATCTACTGCAAGACGGGCCTGGTGGTGGACCAGAGCACGATGGGACAGAGCGGGCAGGCGGTGTCCATCATAGGCGGGCCCCTCGCGGCCGTTTTGTCCACACCCCTGCGGCTCGTGACGACTAATGTGTACGGCATGGTGGCCACGGGTGTTGGGGTCTACTGCGCGAGCCGGTATGCAGCGGATATAGGGATGAGAAGGGATGTGGTGAAGGTGCCCGTTGAGGAACTCACAACAAGGGTTGGGACGGGCATCCTTCAGGTCCTGGAGCCGGCTCTTATGGGCCCGGCAAGTTAGGATGTACGTGATCTCCTGTGTGTGTGTTTATTTGATATAATAAGATGTGGAGGGGGAAATACTCTGACAACATGGGCTTATGTCTGTTCTAATGGTACAAGAAAAGACTGTGTGAGTGTGTTCTGTAATGTACTGAAATTTGTTAGGCTGTCAGGGGCCTTTTCATGATGATTGTGCAAGTTCATGATTTGGTGTGGGAATTGGGATACCGAATATATTTGTGTTCAATTTAGTTAACGATTGAACTGGGTCAATATGGCCTCCCTCAGGCTCTCCTCCCTCAACACATTCAGGTCAAAAGAGTACAGTTTGTTATACGCCAAGCGTGAACTGATTTATTACAAGGCCGGATAATAAAAAGGCAGTAACTTATACTATACGCCAGGTTACACTAATTATTATAAGGCGGGATGAAAAAAAGACAGTCGCTATTACTTCTTGTGAGAAATAATTGGTTTTGTTCCAATTTAATGATTTTATTTTCGTAAATAAAAAGCTTAGAAAATTCTCAAAACCATTTTAAGGTGAATGAGAAATTAATTCTAAGTGTTATATGTTGCACAATTGAGTTAAAGTAACTCAAATGTTGTGGGGTTCACAAAACATTCTAGTTTGACTAATATTTGGACAAACTAAAACGAGCCATAATAATGCATTAAGTATGCTAGAATTGTAGAAGGGC